TGGGGATAAGGTGTGCTGCCCAGAGACACCACAAGGTATGTATGCAGTGACCGGGGATCGAACCTGGGACTTTCGTGTCCCAAGCCAGCTGCCTTGCCTCTACACCATCTCGACCCCCATAACAGTCCAAAATTGTGTTTTTGGATCGTTAAAAAACAGCTAAACTGAGTAGCTAAGCTACGAGCTAAGCTAACAAGCCGACCTCGGGAAAAAAAAACCTTTGTCTTGTCAAAGCCCCAAAATTCACGGTTGAAACTTGTGCCTTCCTCTAAAAAGTTGTTTTTCTCTGTAAAAAGAAGCTGAGAACTTATTTACTGATTTTTTAAATAAAAACTTTGTGTGGCAAATGCTATGCTAAAGAGCTCAAACCACACCAAGCGTCCGCCATTTTGAGAACAGAAAAACAGGAATGAGAGACAGTCCGTGTCACGTCAAGGGGTCTCTCTCCCATTTTTCTTAAGACATGCTGCTCGCTCCGTCACTATCCATCCTTTGGTTTAAACTGTCTTATACTGCTATCCAGTGGTCAAAACAGGTACTACAAGCTAAATAAAATTAACCAACATTTCTTTTAAAATTTGACAATAACTAATTATTGTCAAATTTCAAACAATTAATAGCCCAGCAAAATTTGTTATCTTGACAGGCCTAGTTAGCTTATTACTTTACATAACTCATCCACAGCAACATCCATCTGCAGAGGTGAGGGGAGTTTGTGGCCGTATGCTAGAAGATATTCCACTAGACAGAATGAAACTACGTCTGCTGTAGGTGAAGCTCTGACAGAACACAAATATAGTCTCAGTCACAGATGCTGACTTTGTGCTGAGGTCACTGAACTCTGGCCTGTGGAACATTTGGTGGAACAAAGTCTCGATGTAACAGTGAATTTTAAATTCATATGTGAAGCACTTTTATTTTAAAGTGAGGAGTTCCTCTTGTCAAATCTAAGAGATGTTAGAATATAAACAGCAATCAGAACGAACCCAGATATGTATAAAACTGCATGAATGAATGGTTGAGTGGTTTACAGTAAATTGTATTAACCTTATACACAGCTACATCCACCTCACGGACGTTTAATGACTCTCATTTTAAAGTTTTGAGCGTTTTAGGAATGCTGTATACCTCTTAGCAGCTGAGGGAGACGTTGCAACAATTATGGCATTCCTGTAATCTGGAATCTGAGGAGAAAAGATATTTGAAACATTAAAACAATATGCAATGTTCTATAGATAACCACTTTAACCCCGACATGCTTTGGTAAAAAGCTAAATGTACGGTTTATTGAAGCCCGACCTGCTCCTGGATGTACTGGATGAGGAAATGTGAAGCTCTCAGGTTGTCAACGGGGAAGTTGAAGAAGCCCTGGATCTCCTTCTGATGAAGGTCCATGGTGATGAGGTGAGTGAGCCCTGAAGCACCGGACACACAACCACCAGCTTTTATTAAATATGACCACAGAACAAACTAACAAGTTTCAAGTACAAATACACAAGTAAAAACCAAGTGGCTGACTCTGTTCAATGCAGACATTTCTGTACATATAATGAAATACACGATAAAACAAAACTCTGGTTCTCTTGTTAGAGAGTGGTATTAGATTCAGCTACTTTATTAGCTGAGGGATCCAGCCTGTGGGCGAGGTTCCTGAGACCTGAGAACATTTTAAAAGATGTGCTGTTGACCCTCGCCACATAGAAGCTGATGATGTGCAGGAGGGTGACATCATGAGTAGGCCTGTCACAATAAACAATAACTCAATTAATCGCATGATAAATTAAAATTATCAATCTCATTTTCATTTATCGGCTTCATCGTTTCTTCGTGTCTCTCTCTCTCGTTCTACTGAAGACACTGGATGACAAAAGGCTCAACTCTGGTGCTCTTCACTGACCCCTCCCTTTCTCTTTTCTCTTTAAAATCTGTTTTAACCATCCAAAATTGTGTTTTTGGATTGTTTAAAGCTGAGAAGCTAAGCTACGAGCTAAACTAACAGGCCGACCTCAGGAAGGAAAAAAAAACACGTCTTATCAAAGCTCCAAAATTCATGTAAACCCATGCCTTCGTGTAAAAAGTTGTTTTTCTCTGCAAAAAAAAGCTGAGAACTTGTTTACTGATTTTTATTAAAAGCGTTGTGTGACAAATGATATACTAATACTAATAAACTGGATGATCCCTCTGTTTTTTTAGTTTAGAGGACAATATTTAACTGGATTTAACTGCAGAACAGTTCTCCATTTTTCCTCAGTCCATTTTTGCAATTGGGGTTGTAGTTCATAAATGTACAAATTAACCGTCAATAATTTCAGAAACTGGACTTAAAAGTTATAATGCGTTAATGTGCATCCTGGTCTTACCAGCTTTAGCTAGCATAGAAGCCAGCAGTTTACAGACAATAGAGCCTCTCTTCCTCATCTTGCACTGCTTGCTGTATGGAAAGTAAGGAATGACTCCAATGATGTTCTTGGCACAAGACGTCTTCAGAGCATAAGCCATCACGAGCAGCTCCATGACAGCTGTGTTGACATCTCTGAGAAACAGAACAGAGCGCGTCTGATCAATTTCCTATTTAAAAAGTCAAACTAATGTGGTTTTATCTTGTGTGTCCTGATTCGGGGCTGAAGGAAAGCAAAGTTTAAAACGTTGGGCTCATTCTTCTGTCTCACCTGGGAATGGTCTGAATAATAAAGATGTCCTGTCCACGGACAGATTCCTTCACTTCGACTCTAGTCTCTGCAGAACGAAACAACAACCAGTTGGTCCAGATGCAACAACTGAAAAAGACATTTTCAGTGAGGAAATCAAGCTGTCTGGACATGTAGCTGACACTTACCTGAATTGGACTCCTGATACACCACTGACTTGCCCAACTCCACACCCAAACGTCTGTGGGGATAAAAAGACAAATCTTTGTGCCAGTGATCATTAACTGGTGGACTGTAGACCAAATGCAACTTCGAGTCAGGGACATGTCCATCCTGCGGGGTGGTGGCACCCGTCCAGTTTAATGAAGGATGAAAACAACACAAGTAAAAAAACATATTTCAGATCATTTGTATTTTTATTTTAACTTCCTGAGACATGCCTCCTTCCCTGCACTGTTATTTATGTTGCTCAACTTAGACCAGCCGTCTCTAACATTTGATTTCAATTTGTAGTTATTCTTTTTGTTTTGATTAAAATACACAATTTTTATAAATGCTTGAGATTTAATGTGACAGCTGACTCATTCAACAGTACAAAGTACATTGTTTTGAATCTAAAGTCTTGTTTAAACACTCCTTGAATCACTTCACCTTCATTACCAGTGGCCTGTTTGTAGACGTGTACCTGAAGACTGGGCTCCTTTGATCAGGGTTTGGTGTTAATGTTGTTAAATCTCCCTCACCACACTTTAAAATCCCAAATTAGTGAGAAGATAATGCAACTTTAATCTTCAACACACTTGTGCACATAGTGTTCTTAACCTTAAGCAACAATTTAAAGAATAAACGACCTATGTGCAACAAAAAAACAAAAGTAATAGAAAAGACAAACTGACCCTTTGTGCCCAAATTTATTGAATACTGTATATTTGAAAAAGCAAAACTGTAAAAGCTTTAGTAAATTTAACACATTTTAGAGTCAGAATATGGGACGCTTATCCAAAACCTACGTGAGCAACTTAAATAAAGCTTGTTGTACATTCTGAAAGTAATAATGATGCAAAGTCTGATTTCTGAAAATAGACATGAAAAGACTTTAGGTTCTCCTTCTGGGTTTTAGTGAGCAGCTCTGTGGGATACTCCACACATTTCAGACTAATAATAATAATAATAATATAATAATAATAGTTACTAATGGTTACTGACCCTCTGCAGTAAAACTAAGAAATCCAGTAATACTGTTTTGGCTGTAGTAAAGTCTCCTCTGATTGGCTTGTAAAAGAACCTCACAGCTGCAGAGCCTGCTTAAACATGGACTGGAAGTAGAACGGTACCACAAAGACGACCTTGAAACATCCAGTCTAAACTGGAAAGCTCATATAGACGAAGGTCATTTGTGTTTTTAGTACATTTGTGAGGTTTAACTGTGTATACTGGTGACAAAGGTTGACTACAGGGTTTATGGGACTGTAGACAACCTCCCAGGATGTAGACGCTAGGCCTGTCACGATAACAAATTTTGCTGGGCAATTAAATGTCTCAGAAATTATTGCGATAGATATTGTTTGAAATTTGACAATAATTGGTAATTATTGTCAAATTTAAGAAGAAATGTTTAATTTGTTTTGAGTGTAGTACCTTTTTTTGTACTACACTCAAAACAAATTAACAAACATTTTTCCCTGAGGTCGGCCTGATAGCTTAGCTCGTAGCTTAGTTGCTTCTAATGATCCAAAAACATGATTTAAGATCATGGTTAAAATGGATTCTAAAGAGAAAAGAGAAATGGGGTGGTGGTGATGGGGTGTGTCTAGGTGTGCACCGATAAATCAGCCGGCCGATTTATCGGCCCCGATTTCCTTAATTTTGAGAAATCGGAAATCAGCCGATACTTACATGAGAAACCAATTTTACAGATCTTTTATTTTTTTTAATAATTGTCTAAACTTGATTTGTATTTCAGAGTACTACCTCATGGCCAGTTAAAACAAGTTTTTAATGTTTCTAGGATATTGTTCAAGGGTAGGTTTTCTTAAATTAATATTGGAAAATTGAAGGTGCATTGTGACCTTATAACACCTGACAGTGTCGCTTACAAAACAAAAATCAGTATCAGCCAAAATCGGAATCGGCAGGTCAGGCTTTTTAGAAATCGGTGAATGGTGATGGGCCAGAAAACTGCAATCGGTGAACCCCTAGAGGTGTCAGTGAAGAACACCTGAGTTGAGCCTTGTCATCCAGTGTCTTCAGTAGAGAGAGAGAGACGAATAAATGATAAAGCTGATAAATGAAAATGAGGTCGATAATTTTCATTTATCATGCGATTAATTGATTTAATGTTTACCATGACAGGCCTAGTAGACCCAAGTGTTAATGCAACCCCAGGATGATAAAAATGGATAGAGCAGAAGGTAGAAGAGCTCAAAAATAAACCATTCAAAACCATTCAAGATGAACTCCCAAGGTTCAGGTATGTCACTTTCTGATCAAGCCATCCATTTTATTTTGAGGGCTTCACTGTTAGCAGAAAAACACAAAAATACCAAACTGCGATGGTTTTTAGGGGGACGAGACGGGGTAGAGGCAGATCAGCCGAACTGGGACCACAAAAATCGCGCTTCGACTCCCCGCCATTCCCACGTCATGGTGTCCCTGAGCAAGACACCCAATCCCCAATTGTTCCCGGGCGCTTACATACAGTGAGGAAAATAAGTATTTGAACACCCTGCGACTTTGCAAGTTCTCCCACTTAGAAATCATGGAGGGGTCTGAAATTTTCATCTTAGGTGCATGTCCACTGTGAGAGACATAATCTTAAAAAAAAACAACAGAAATCACAATGTATGATTTTTTTTATAATTTATTTGTGTGTTACTGCTGCAAATAAGTATTTGAACACCTGTGAAAATCAATGTTAATATTTGGTACAGTAGCCTTTGTTTGCAGTTACAGAGGTCAAAGGTTTCCTGTAGTTTTTCCACCAGGTTTGCACACACTGTAGCAGGCTAGTGGAATTAAGACCAAAAAGTTTTATTTTGGTCTCATCTGACCACAGAACTTTCTCCCATGACTCCTCTGGATCATTCAAATGGTCATGGGCAAACTTAAGACGGGCCTGGACGTGTGCTGATTTAAGCAGGGGAACCTTCTATGCCATGCATGATTTTAAACTATGACGTCTTCGTGTATTACCCACAGTAACCTTGGAAACAGTGGTGCCAGCTCTCTTCAGGTCATTGAGCAGCTTCTCCCGTGTAGTTCTGAGCTGATTCCTCACCTTTCTTAGGATCACTGATACGCCACGAGGTGAGATCTTGCATGGATCCCCAGTCTGAGGGAGATTGACAGTCATGTCTAGCTTCTTCCATTTTCTAATAATTGCTCCAACATTTGATCTTTTTTCACCAAGCTGCTTGGTAATTGCCCCGTAGCTCTTTCCAGCCTTTTGGAGGTCTACAATTTTGTCTCTGGTGTCTTTGGTCTTAGCCATGTTAGTAGTTGGAGTCTTACTGATTGTGTGGGGTGGACAGGTGTCTTTATGTAGCTAACGACCTCAAACAGGTGCTTCTAATTTAAAATAATAAGTGGAGTGGAGGTGGATGTTTTAGAGGTGGACTAACAGGTCTTTGAGGGCCAGGATTGTTGCTGATTGGCAGGTGTTCAAATACTTATTTGCAGCAGCAACACACAAATAAATTATTAAAAAATCATACATTGTGATTTCCGGATATATATATATATTTTTAGATTATGTTTCTCACAGTGGACATGCACCTAAGATGAAAATTTCAGACCCCTCCATGATTTCTAAGTGGGAGAACTTGCTAAGTCGCAGGGTGTTCAAATACTTATTTTCCTCAATGTAGCCGTCCACTGCTCCACCTGGGTGTATCCCACGTGTGAAGGGTTAAATGCAGAGAACTAAATTTGCCCTTGTATGATAACAACACATAGCACTTAAATTTAAAAACGGGAATTTACTAAAATACATGCTGACACAACAAAACTGGAACTTTTTGGCTCCAGCACATCTGCTGTTATTTTTATATAAAGGAAATGCCTCAACAAATGTAATTTTCTTGTTACCCGTCATGCAGTAAAGCATTGTTTAAGGTTTCCATAAGGAATAACCCTCCAAACCCAAATTTACACTGGGCCTGGCTTCTGGTTCTGTATAACAATGAGTGATGCTCCCACATCATCACTGATTCAGATTTATTCTGCACGTCTCATGAGTGAATGGCTGCCACCACGTTTATTATTTAAACATGTCCATACTTACTCTGTGATCTTCTTGGCCAGCTCGGTACAGGCGGTGCTGGAGTTGGCCGTGAACACACGGTAGCCACTTTTTGAAATATTCATTTTCCTCGTGTAATCATACGACAGTAATTTAGCGGTCGGAGAACAAGAACCAAGAGACCTGTGACCCCCGAAGCGTCTGATGGGCATGCTGCTCCGGAGGAGGCTGTGGTGTTCCTGGATTTAGCTCAGAAAAGCGGGGACACGACTTTCAGTTCAAATTCATGCGGTTCTTGGTTCAGATGGTCGCCATCGTGAAGGTGAAACCCAAATTTAGAAACTATAAACAATGGAAACTTGTGTGTACTAAACATGAAGCCTACAACAGAGAAGGCACATTATGTCCCACATGGATGGAAGCAGCGGGTCTAGCGGGAGTAACAAGTCAAATCTACCAACGGCTGGGGGAAAAAAAAAACTCAGCAGATGGAAAACCGAGTCGTTCGTTTCTCTTAATCCTTCGGGACCTTCAGCCGGAAGTGTCCCGTACCGCCGAAACGTTTTAAAGTTATGTTGATTACACTAAAGGATCAGAAAGAAAATACTGCAAACAGCTTTTTTAACTAAATCTGCGTCACACTCAAATTACAACTTTTTTCGTGGTGCTGTAGAGGTCGGATTAAAAAAACACCACGCGCACTCATCCATTGGATGAAAAACAGGAACTGACTTTTACAAGAGCCAATCAGAAAGCTTATATTTCTTCTTCATTAGATGTTGATACTGCAGATTATACACGAAGGGCATCAATATACTGCCACCATTTGGAGGTTGGATTTATTACATTAAGTTTAAATTCTTCCTCACGCTTTTGTTTTTGAAAAAACATTCACACACACCCCCCCCACAAAAAAAAGAAGAAGGAAAAAAAAGGGACTTCTATTCTGAAGCTGAAAGAATAGCTTCAGAAAAAAAGTCCAGTTGTTCTATTTCGTATAGGCTTCGCCCTTTAAGGCAGTCGCTGGTGGGTTTTGTCGCACGAAGCACAGCACTGAAAACTTTAGTCCACGCCCACCTGCTGTGTGGGCCTCACCTGGTCCGTATAAATTACGGTGAGACCAGGTAATCAGCTCCCATTTTTCTTCAGCAAGCAACCAGCACTGTTTTTTTTTACAAGAACACGATGTCCAGCACCATCCGCCTGTGCCTATCCTGCAAGACCGGCTACATGCTGAGCTTCAACCGTCACGACATCTGTGAAGGATGCCTGGATCCCCGCCACGCCGACCTCGCCTCCTCCTGCCATCTCTGTGACCTCCTCCCTCCTGAGGAGAGACAGAGGCGAGCAGCCTTGTTCAAGGCTAACATTGAGAAGTGTCTCTCAATGACGGAGGACTGTTCGCTGGATGACGCCATAGCCTTTTTTGACGCCGAGTCACAGAGCGAATAGGATAATTCCTCCAGGAAAGGCGACGTCAGCAGCAGCACCACTGCTCATTCGCTCCTGGAGAGCGTAGTGTTGGAACGGGTTGGATGGGCTGAGTGGATGCCCCCCCCCCCCAGGCCTTTCCGCATTGGCGAACACACCGCTCCCAGTCGTCGGTGCCCTCCTCTCGGAGCTGTCCGGCATAATCCAGGAGGCGGCTGACACGAAGGGACTTTCCGTCCCTCTCCTCCCCCTGCCCAGATCGGATGATCTAGCGGGAAGGTTTGGCTCCACCCTGACTCGCCTCCCTGACCCCATCTGGCCTCGTTTCCCAGCTGTGACGACACGTCCTACTGGAACGAGGCTGCAGCCGGACGGACCTGGTAGGCTGAAGGTGCCCGTCTCCACCTTCGCTCCCATCACCAGAGTGGAGAGGTTTACAGAGCGGAATTTTCCCTCTGTACCCCCCCCCCCCCCCCCCCCAGAGCTAAGCCTGGCGGAAGCACTCGGAGCAAAAGTGTCCAGGTTGGACACCCTGCTGGCCTACAGCATCTCCAAAAGGCTGAAGGACACAGACCTGCCTGAGGAGATGAGGAGCTTGCTCTGCAAAGTGTCTGACGTCATCCTCAACCTGTGTGCCTCCTCTGCGGTCTGCCTGTCTCGCATAGCCACCTGGATGACAATGATCCAGAGGTTCACCTGGCTCCGATACTCCCCCTCCTTGCCGGAGAAAGTGCAGAAAGACCTCCTGGAGGGCCCCATCACGATGGACGCGCTGTTCGGGGCCAATTTCAAGGCCATGCTTGAAAAGTCGAAGAAGTCAGAGGAGGTGTCGAAGACTGTGTGCCACCTGATGAAGCTGCACCCCTCC